ATTTAATTTTTCTATCATCCTAGCTTTTAAGATTTCCCCCACTATCAATATCCTAAAATACGTAATGTTTTACTTTTTGTCACAGACATCTCTTTTTTCTCTAAACATTTCCCCTACTTTTAGTGTGCTTGGAGCACAAGATAATTAGGTTTCATCATCTGAGTTGATAAGGTTACTGATTTCTTCATCAGTACATACATTTTTTCTTTTCAGATATTCGTCTTTGCTCGAGGATATTCTGGCATTCCAGGATCGAATGGCATACCAAGAATGCCGGGAATTCCTGGCGCCCCAGGACCGCAACAACAAGAAGGAAAAGATGGAGCTGAGGAGGAGGGATCGAGAGGCATGACGGGGAGGAGAGGGGAAAAAGGAAATAGAAGGTCGCGTGGTAATAATGGTGCACCTAGAATGAAGGGTTTAAAAAATATGATTGTAATGTAGGTTGTTTAGGTGGCAGATGCTTTAGAAATTCTTTACACTGGCCAATTTACATTATCAGTTCTGTTGATAAAACCTTATTATCTTGTAATACCCCTCACTGACGTAGTATCACAGTTACAAAATTACCCTCTTTGAACATCTTAGGGCTTAATTGCGCCGCATTTTGCTGATTAAAACACTGTTATCTGTGATATTTGAAAAAGGAGTCAAGCTAAAGAGTGCTATCACCTATTTCCTAAATCAAACACGTTATTACGACAGTTTAATTAGATGCTCAGTTAGACAAGTATATGAACGTTTCGGGGAAATGGCTTGAGCATACTGGGTGGAAGGCACCATGAATATTGGATCCCAAAATCTTCTTATCTTATGTAACATGTCTTGCTGCTACAACTTTAACCCTAACTAACTCTTACTAGCTACTATCAAAAAGATATGCAAAGATATTCTCACTTGGTTGTGTTTTCTTGACCTTGGAAGTTGATACCACACCTATGCTATATGCGAGATAACGGCACATAAGACTGTGTGAAAAATAATCTGAAGCATTGAAGGCTTACATTCTAGAGATAAATTCCGTTATCCAATGACAGTAATAGATGTGATCCTTAAGCTGATAAAAAAGAAACTTTTAAGTCTTGTAGAAAAATAAAACACCTGGTTGTAATTCGCAGAAACATCAGTTTCGAGCACATACCAAAAGAAACACAAAACATCGTTCTTAATTTTAACTTCACAACACGAGCCTACAATTTGTTCCATTAATACACAAAAGCAAAATTTCGACATAAAAGTACATTTCACCGCCCCGATATAAGCATGAATACCGTAATCGACCATAGGACAAATAAACATGATATCAGGCGCTTCAGAGTCCGCAGAAACGCTCTCCTGAACATTCAAGGGCTTGACAACTAATGCTATCATTTTTTGCCAGGGAGGGGGGGGGGGAGGGGTGAGCCACTTGCCCAAAAAATTCTTGCAAGTTGCTTAAATTGTTATGAAACAGTCGAAGAGGAACAAGGGTCATACGATAAAATAACATAGGACTACATATGAATGGAATATATTCTTATATATGCCTGATCATATAAGCTCGTAAAACACGTTAAAAAACATATCTGTCTTTGCCAATTTTGACCAAAGGTATGATATATGTCATTGCTGACTGCAGAGTTGGCATATGCTCTTTTAATGTTAATAAGTGCGATGTTACTGACACATTGTTGCTCCATGGTGCTGTGGAAGTAAGTTTTAATCTGCGTAAGGCACTGAATGATCGTTCTGCAGAACACGATCTAGCAGGTTTCACTGCAAGAATATGTACCATTTTCTCCGGAGAACTCTGGAAACGTATCGAATAGAACCTTTTCCTGTATTGCCTTTTGCATTTCTGAAACAGTCATGTGGCCTAATCCGCGCACACAACGAAAACTCGCGTACATTTTCTGCTCGGCTTCCAGAACCTCGCCGTCGATTTCGTAAAATTTAGCAAAACGGGAGAAGCTTTCTTTATCAGATGTTTCACTGTGACAGATATTTCCCAAAGCACAGATTATTTCTTCTAAACCTGAGCTCAAGCTCAGACAGTAGCTTGTCCACGGACGCATAGTAAGTGATCATACGGTTATGGGCGATACGGTGGTGCGTTTCCGGTGTCAGCTGGGTTTGTCTTTGCACGTGATCACCTACAAGGTCTTGAAGGCTGCACGATGGCGTTTGTCTGAGTGCCCTGGCTTCCCGTAACTCAAACTGAGAACTGTTTTACCACTTCTAAATTTTCTGGTCCAGTGCTGACACTATCTGCCATACGCTGTTAGAACTTTCTTCACTACGAAACTGACGGTAGGGTCTGAAGGGTCATGTCGGCATTTCTACGAGTAGAGATGACGTCTACCGACTTCCTCTGAGGATATCGGCACAGACTATGAGTACTGCTCAGCACGCACAGTCCGGAGATGAATTTAACTGGCTTTACCACACCGACTTAAGCTTAAAATAAAAAATATATTTCTTTCAAAGCAAAGAAAAGGACTAAACGAAACATGGAAACTGTTGTAAAAGTTGGCTTTGCCCAAATCTCTCTTGCTGCCCAAAAAATCTGAGTTACCCGAAATTTGGGAGGGAGGGGAGTGTTGCAGCCTCCTCACCCCCACCAATGGGTGCTATCACCTGTTTTTTCAATCAAACACAGGGTTTCAGTTAAACTTATCAGTGAGACGGGTCTGCAATTTGTACCATCATTAAAAAGAGTCAACAGATTTTGAACACAAATATCTAATAAACCACCTCAAGAGAAGTTTAGATGAAACATACGGCGTTTGAAAAGGTTTCCACTATTTTGGAATGGCTCCAATAACACGAATACCGAAATCGAGCTAAGGACAAATGAACACCACAGACCAAATCGAACTCTTTTTCCTTCTCAATATGTCACGTTTGGTCAGGATAAGAAGATTTTATGGCCCAGATTTCTCTGCGCAATTTCTCTGAATCTGAGTGAAACATTGGTCTGTTGGTCAGTACGTGCTTCATTAGCGAACTGATAAGGATGTCACAGTCAAGTTGTTTACCCGTTGTGTGAGTTCGAGTAGTTTCAGACATCCTTATCATTAAGCTCCAGGCTTCTTTATTAAGATTGTTATTTTAACATGAGAACTGACAGTTTGCATTTAATGAAATTCAGTAGGATATAAATAAGAACATACATAAGGAGATATTTTACAGCTAACTCAAAGTATTCTCGCAAAGCAACCATCGAAGTATGGAGAAACTTCTAATACTGGCTGCTTTGTTATTTTTCTCAACCAATAATAGATTTAATTCAATGGGATCAACCACCAGTCCTCAAAAACATAATCCTCAAGCTGGCGCTGACCAAGACCCATGTGAGGTACTGCTAAGCATGCTTCATCCTCGGTTATTTAATGTAAAATAGCACGTACTTCATGAAGCATTTATTCGTCATACCTCAGTTTACCACTCTTGTCTGCTAAGCTAAGTGAAAAACAAATCCCTCATCAAGTTTTTAAAAACAGAGTAAAACATTGCTAAAATAAATTTTATTTTAGGGATATCTCTATAACGGTACGAGATCTTTCAATGTTCCAAGCTGTTTCTCCTAAAAACGAAGCTAAATTCTCAACGTGATTAGTTTCTGAAGAAACTGCTGCTGTAAATATCAGTGAACATCAAGTAGGTCCATCCAATTACTACATGTTCCTTTTTTTTCTCAGAAATCCGTTTTTACCCACGGATTTTCTCGGATTCCAGGATCGAATGGCATACCAGGAATGCCGGGAATTCCTGGCGCCCCAGGGCCCCAAGGACAACAAGGTAAAGATGGAGCTAAGGGGGAGCCTGGTGTCAAGGGACCGAGAGGTATGACGGGAACTAGAGGACAAAAAGGAAATCCAGGGTCACTTGGTAAAAATGGTGCACCTGGAATGATGGGAATAAAAGGAGATAAAGGTCATGAAGGTCCGCGTGGCAGCAGTGGACCGCCAGGAATCAAGGGTGTGAAAGGAGAGCAGGGATCTAAAGGAGAGAAAGGAGAAATCGTGAATAGTGCAGTGTCACAGACCAACTGGAAACAGTGTGTATGGAAAAATGGTGATAGTAGATATAGTGGAAAGATTAAGGTACAGAAATATCTAGAAAACGCAATGACCAACTGGAAACAGTGTGTGTGGAAAAATGGTGATAGTAGAGATAGTGGAAAGATAAAGGTACAGAAATATCTAGAAAACGCAATGAAAAATAAATTAAGCTTTACAGGCTTTCAAAGAGACTTTTGAGAAATGCAGCCGAACTAAAAATAACAATTAACAATTCTGTGCATTCTTGCAGGCAGGAAAAGTACAAGGTTATCATCAAATTACTTCCCATAACAATCATATTTTTTTATTAAGACTTTCTTCTTGGCATTTTTTGTAGGATTGCTCATTCAACAAGCTGCAATCTGATACAGCTATTAAAGTCTCATTCCAAGGAAATATGAGAGTCTATGGCACTTCAGTTAAATGCAACCGGTGGTTCTTCAAGTTTAATGGAAATGAATGCAGTGGACCAATGACAATTGAGGCTGTTGTGTACAACCATTGGCCGTCTGGGAGTCCTAATCTGCATCATCACAGATCATTTGAGGGATACTGTGAAAACATTCCACAGGGCAGGGTTACTGTGGAGTTATGGGTAGGACAGTGTCCCGGTGGTCGTACACTGGGTGATGCTCACACTGGATGGCTATCAGTATCCCGGATAATGATAGAGGAAGTGTCTAGAGCCCAGTCCTAATTAGCCCTGTCATCTTCACCTAAGGACTGGGGCAGAATATTCTGTCTTCATTCATCCATTTTTTTAGATTTCATAATATTCTCACATTTTCAATAATGCCCAAAAATTGAAGTTACCGTTTTTCACAAGTACTATATTTTCTATCACCTTTTTTTCAGTATCTTGAAAATAGTCTTGAAACCCTTTTAAAACATTTAATGAAAACAAGAGATTTGTTGCAAGATCACAATTTGAAGGAAAAATTGTTTATCACTGACCACCTTATCATCAACTAATTCAATCTTTTTCAATTGAATTGTATTCACAACTAGTTTCTTTTTATGGAAATATGTTTTCTCCATTCTGTTTGTTCTAGAAAGTCCTTTGGATCAGGGGGTACATCTGGAATTTCCTTCATATAAAATGTAAAAAGAAAATTTCAAAGGGTCAGTGAGCACAGATTGCCCAAGCTCATAACAAGAGTATCTATTCTTTTAGTCAGGAGATGAGATTTATATTGGTGGTTTAATTAAGCAAACATAACTTTTGCCTTGAGGAAGAAGTCTGTTATATTAGAGAGTTTTAAAGAAATTTAAACGTTTTAGTGAGCAAAGTAAGGAATTATTGTAGATTGTAAGGATTCATGACTATAAAATAAACTCCCTTTGTTTAACCCTTTAACTCCCATGAATGACCAAGACAGAATTTCCCCTTACAATATCAATACAATATCAACCAGACAAGTAATGAAAATAAAGAAAAATATCAATTTGAGGATAATTAGTTGATCCAATACTAAACTCTCTGAACTGACATTATAAGAATTGTATGGTCAACAGTAAGGAGAATAACAAACTTGTTGTGGGAGTTAAAGGGTTAAATGCTTTGTAAATTGTTCTACACTTGATCTCAATCATCAAATTTGAATCCAATTTGGTAGGTTAATAACACATATTATTCCCATTTTCCTGTTTCATCCTTACTCATTCCCAGTCCTTAGTCACTTTTTATCACATAGGGTAGAAGAGAATTCAGTTGGAAGCTGATTGCATACTTTATTTGACAGAATCAAAACTTTTTCATAGCAATTTTGCCCCCTTTTGATCAGGGTTTCCATGCCTGCAAGTGGAAAATTTCTGCTAACAAAGAGCTTCACATAAAAATGGCAGCTCCAATTAATTATGGACAATCAGTGAAACCTAAAATCAATTCAAACAAGTGATTAATGTGAAATTTCTCTCCATAATTCCACTGCATCAATCAGTAAACAAATAGTCAGAATAATTTAACTCCTCAGATACAAGATACAACTCTTAATTCTCTTAGCTTTTAAACAAATATTTTATATAGCAGCTCAGGAGAATAAAAAAAACACAAATCTTGAAAATAAAGAGTCAAGTTTCTGGACTGCAAACAAACAAAAATAACTCAGCTGATCTTTCAGACCAGTTTTTTTTAGAGGTACAAAAAATTTAAAAAGGAAACTTTGCTGAAATGTAGGTAAATCAAAGGGTAGTTTTTTTCAGTCAGGATCTATTATCTCCTATGTTCATCAATCATAAAATAAACACAACAAAACAGTCTCACCAGATTTGGTCTGTAGTACAAGTGCACCACCTGACTTCCTGTCAGGCAAGTTGCTGAACTGACTGCAAAGAAAGTTAAATATTGAGGCCAGGATACCCCAGCAGGCATCCTCAACATCTATGGTTCTACACTCTGCTGTTTATTTGTGTTTTCTTGTTCTTGTTTTCTTCTTTCTAGACATCTTTCTGACTCATTTCTGACACAAACGTCATCTGTAGGACATACAAGTAAGAGGTTTGATCTTCATTTGTTGACTTTTTGGTTAATGTTTTCACTCCCAAGATCTCATTAGTAATTCTCTTTACTGTCTGCCATACAATTCTTGTGATGTGAGTTTGGAAAACTTGGCATTGGATCAACTAACAATTGCTTATTGATATTTTGATAGACCTGCATCACTTTTCTGCTTAACACTGTAGTGATATTGTAGGGAGAAACTCTGTTTTGGTCACTCATGGGATTTAAAGGGTTAGCAAAGTATTTTAACAGAACTGATCATTTCCATTCATCCTTTTGCATCAGCTGATTTTTTTTTTTACCAAATCTCTCTCAAAGATAATTTAAAATTGAAGGAGACACTTACAAGATTTTTAGAAGAAGATTTTCCCACCTAGCAATGCCAACGTTTCTGATGGTGGCTGGAGTCCTATACTTTAAAACAAAGCCGTAGTCTTAGAGACAATTAACTCTTTTCGCCATTATTTTCATTATCCAAGTACTGTATGCATAATGAAGCATGGAGCTGTGCGGATATCTAACCCAGTCACTTTCGGACCACGAAAGAAAAAATCATCAGCCGCCTTTCAAAACTGCAAGCGATCCTCATGCGGCAAACGAAGTCTTATTATTCAAAGTGGACGTACGTAGTTCGTATGGAGAATTATACAACAAAAATGACCCACTTGTTCGTTCTGTTGATAAGGCTTTGATTAATGAAAAACAAACAAATATAAAAGAAGACAGTAATTTTACCAGATCAACGTACACATTTAATAGTTAAGCTCACTTACCTTCATCATAAAAAACTCAATTCCAGCCTCCATGTTGAAAGTCAGCACATTTGAAGGTCAGCATTAGATTCCATCCACCAAAACCACCTTGGTCGAGAGGGACTGAGATGCAATGATGGACAACTCATAACTTGTTATACTAAATGAAAATTACGAAGCTACGACAACATGCCGACTTATCCCGATGACCTAAGTGTATTATTTGTTTGGGAAATTGCGTCAAAACTTTTTACTCAAGAAATGGTAAGTATTAATTTATTGTTCGATTGTAGTATTATAAAACATTTTACGCAATTTTATGCAGATATTTCACGTATTTAAAAGGTGCCCAGATGTTACGTAGTTTTGGTGGATGTCATTAGGGAACATCCACCAAAACTTTGACCAAAACCATCAACAATATATTTTTTTAATTTTATCTATAGCCACAGTTAGATGTTCAGGGAGACAAAAGATTTATACCAATAATTAGCAGTTAGTGCTCTGGCTAATCATTTTTTATGGTGCACAATTATTGCTGACCGACCAAACGTTCATAATGATTATCATAACTCGTAACACATAGAATAAAGTGGTTTTGGTGGATGTTTCTCTCCATCCACCAAAACCACCATAGCAATTTCTGCTACTTCCTTACAGAAGACTGATGTGACCTACTATTTGGAGTACATAACCACAATCTATTTCTTTGTATGTAGAGATATTTTGCAAAGTTCTTGAGTCAGCACCTTTGATTATTGAAACCATAATCATAACATGGTGCACAGTATAGAATACAAAAGGTTCTGGTGTGGCAATCATGTAATCTTGAAACAGGAGAGTTTTAACTGACTTAAACTAACTTAAACAGACATTTGCAACAAAATTCCAGGTCCATAAATTTCTTCCACTATTTCTGCTAAAATCATAACCTTTAAGCACAACAAATCAGCACATCAGTAATTGTTATCAGGGGTCTGAAAATCCTATAAATCTTTCACATTTATTTCAAGTAACCTTTAATTTCACATGGATGAATAAGTATACACTCAAGATGCAGAATGTCTTACGTTTTACAAATTATTTCCCTTTTTATGGATAGACAGTGAAAGGCCTTTGCCACATTGGTGAATCAAACCATTGTATACCATGCATTTTGTGATAATTGTTTGTTTTTGCTTGCAATATCCAGAAAAATGGAGGGGATAAATTTAAATAACAAATTCTATTAATGGTTAAAATTAAATAACATTGGAAGATCAAATTAACTTTGTACTGTTTAAAATTCAGTTTTGGTTTCTTGCTTATTCCAGCCTCCCAATATTCAAAAGCATTCCTTGTCATTTTTGTGTTCTTTTGTGTAACATAACTTGAAAAATAAACACAGAGAAAGGAAACCACAGAGGATTAAACTTGAAGCTAAAGCAAAGTTTAAGTTGAGCCATAGCTGATCCAAATACTGAGCACTTTATATTGTAACCCATTTAGCAGTAAAGTTTATCTATATGTCTGCCAGCTTTTCATAAGTCTTACCCCTCTCCTTCAAAAGTCTCTATAAATAAATTTTTCTTTGTGGTCTCTAATTGATGATAAGTATATTACAGCTCCTCCACTTCCCTCTCTCAAGACAAGGTTACTCTAAATTTAACAAAGTAATGGACTTGATAAAACTCAAACTATAACTCAGCTGGCTGCTACTTGCAACCTTAATTTCTTGATATCAGTTTACAATAATCAATATGTTATAAATAAGAACCCTAATGCTTAATTTTGCATTGATCACCTTCCTCCTTTTCATTTGCAGACCAGACTGGAACCTCCATAGGTGTGTTTGCTTGTTTTGAGTGGGGATGGAAGAAAAGGAGTCATGCCGCATATCTGATTTATTTATTGTTCTGTTTATACATGAGTAGAACTACCTTGTTCTCTGAAAAAAATAAAATTTCTTGCATTTTTATCTGTGTTTTGCAGTCAAACTTCCTTGTGTCTTAGACAAGAAATCTTATTTTCTTGAAAACAAAATCTTTGTTTCCAGCCTTCTGTAATAGGTAAATATAACAGTGTAAGATGAGTGACAGTGTATTTCTCAAGTTTTTTGGAATGTGACAAAACGGAAGTGTCATAGCGTGATAAGGAGCCAACATATGACTGCTTGATAGAAAGCAAAAAATGCAGAATTGCATATATTTTCTTCTTTGTCAGCAGCATATGTTAGTGAAAAGTTCTTATAATTGTTAACTTCTAAACTATCTTCAATTTAGCCAAGATTGAACTGTTATCACGTTTGTCATAAAAAGTATTCTGAGATCAATGTCATATGACCCATTCATGTATTTGACCTTTCGAATTAGCAAGCCATAGTTGATAGTAACACAAAGGTTGAGGATAAAAAGAAATTATTATATACAGTAATTCTTCTGCATCTTTTCGTTTCCTTTTCTCTCCAGCTGTTTTATCTATGCCATGCTGGCAATTGAACACTTTCCTTCCCAAAATTAGGAAAGGCACACCAGTAAAATCGAATTTTTGCTCCTTAAATATCTCATGCATCTTCCCCGAGTATTTTGTGAATTCTGTCCGAGGAAGGAGGTGTAAGCATTAAGTTAACCCGAATGATTCCACAATTGTGGTATCATCCAAACTAGTGAGAATGCACAATAGCGATAGCAAAGCTTTGTAATGCCAAAGAGCTATATCAATATATATATATATATATAAACACCGGTGTTCCCGAAACCTTTGACAGCTTTAAAGAAAGAAAACTTCGTCGTCAATCCTGTTTCAATTCCGCAATAAGTTTATGCGCCTCATCAACAGAATTGACGTATCCTTAATTACCTGCATGTCTACCATCAAGCAATGGTTCGCGACTTAAAATTCTCGCTATGTTGTTTCTGTTTGTTCCTCAAGAATCATGGGACTTACAGCTTCGGATGTTCGGCTACATCACTTACGGATTTCCGAGAATCTTCGGTTATGTTTTACAAGTCATTAAATATTCCATCTCAGTCCCTCTCGACCGAGGTGGTTTTGGTGGATGGAATCTAATGCTGACCACATTTGAATTACCAAAACCTTCAACTTTTTACCGCTGGTAACATTACTACGGGCGCATAGCTTTTAAGAACGATAAGCTCATGGATTTGGTGGGTCGCCTCATTTAAGGTAATCCAGGATAGTATTAGATTCTGAATTCCACTTTAAGGATTCCAGATTCCAGGTGCCGGATTCCGGATTCTTCCCCTGCAGATTCCGGATTCCATCTAAAATTACTTTTTTAACTTTCCTTTTAAACAAATACTAAATTGAGGAGAAATTTCAACTGCTGAAATACAACTTTCATAACAGCCTGTGTATGTCGCAAATAAATCACAGACTGTACTAAGAAAGGCTTGTTTTCTCATATGTAATTGGCGATGATGTTCGACATTGGAATCCGGTCGTTTCGATACAAAGTCGTTTCGATACAAACTCACGTTTCTCTTCAAGTCGATTCAATACAGAATACTATACTATATATAAATGACCAAACGAACCTTCAAAGACATATGAATAAAGGGGTAAGTTTCTAAAGAAACTGTGGTGCTGCGTCGGTGGGAGAGTATAGCAGGTAATTTAGTGTTAACAACTGGGTTGAAAACGTAAATTAGCCACCGTAAAGGGTAAAAAAGCTGACGTTTCGAGCGTTAGCCCTTCGTCGGAGCGATTGACGCTCCGACGAAGGGCTAACGCTCGAAACGTCAGCTTTTTTACCCTTTACGGTGGCTAATTTACGTTTTCAACCCAGTTGTTAACACTAAAGTACCTGCTTCAAAGACATACTTACTGGAGCGAACCTCCTCATACCTCCACGAACCTCCACATGTACCCAAGCCTCCTACGCAATGAGAACACGCAAACGAGACCAAGTTTTCGCTAAGTTTATTTATCGAGAACACGGCTTTTTATAAATACATTTGAGACTTCTTCTATAACTCCAACGCATATTATGCATGTTATGCTTACGATTAAGGAACAGAAATACTTTAATGTCGTGTAAGTCGGTGATGTAACGAACCTGTGAGGAAACAGCAGTAATTCTGGCGCTTGGGTAGGCGGGTTTGTAAATTATCATATCAATTGACGCGTAAACTAATTGTTGTGAAAAAAAAACTTGCTGATTTTACCTTATTGTTCTTATGATAGCGAATTAACCAATCCAATCCGCTTTAAATTAACTGCTATTAGAGTACAAAACACACTGGGACCTGAAGAATTATCATTCGATCAGACGATAACGACTGTTGACGAGAGTTCGATGTTGACGATTACGCGATGAACCTTTTCGGCCTGAACCGTGACGTACGAGATCGTGGAGAATTAACAGTTCCAAAAGAGGCCGGCCGAAGTTGATAGACAGCCAGGGGTACAGCTACACCCTACAGAGAAGGCGAGGCTTAGTCACTGTCTGACAGTGTTCCATCCGTCCCAAAGTCAACCTATGTAGGGCCACAGTTAGACAGCGCGGCGACCAGTTCCAGTGCGGCAACCATCCTGCAGATGAGAAATAAGACACTTATACTGAACTTTTCTCGAGTTTACTTCTGTATCGAAACGACCTCAGTTTGTAACGAATCGACTTCGACTTGTATCGAAACAACTTGAGTAGAAACAACTTTGTGAAAAAAAACCTATTTTAGCGTGAAGAGTAGTATGTTGCTCGCACCAATCAGATCGCCGCATTATGGCATGTATCTCGCATCAATCAAATTGCCGCATTATAGTTTGTATTTCGCACAAATGATATCACAGCATTTATCGGGATAAGGAAGGTTAGCATTTACTTCTATTGCAAATTTTTTTTTAATTAAAACGTGTTTTTTCGCTCCAATTCTCACAACGCACACGCCAAACAACGTATATTTCATCACGTACTATGAAAACAACGTCTAAAGTCCAATCAGAACATACCCAATCATTGCACTACATGAGCATTAGGCAATTTTTCATGCTTGAATTGTATCAACCAATCAAATTCCATTTTACCACATTAGTCTTAGTTCTATCACGTGTCCTTTTCTTGTAAACAACCTGAAATTTATCATGTATTCTAACCGCACTATCCTACACCACTGAAAAAAACCACATGAAACTTCATGCTACTGATAGTGAATTTTCCACGCATTCTCCCGCATTTTGAATCGTTTTTCTACGAATAAAATTGGCTTTCAGCCACCTTGGAATTAACCCAATTGCGTGTTAATTCCTTGTAAACAACCTGCATTTTTTCACGTATTTCACACCACACATAGGGCAAAGTCGAGATAGGCAACAACCAATTAAGGAGCCCTCTTGGAAATATAATTTTTTTTTTCTTGCTCAGTGTATCTTCCCTCATACGAGATCACAATATATCTTTGGTTAAGGTCTTTTGGAGATACAACATTTTCAGTCTGCTCAGAAGTAGTTAGACAATGGAGACAATAGACCATAAAAATACTTGTGGGAGGTTGGATAAATCATGTTTTTTTCTCTTTCTCTTGGAGTGAAGTAATGCGATATTTCGTTCTTTTGAAAGTTATGAAATATTAGGAACACAGAGTGTCCCATTCCGACCTACCCAGCCAAAAATAACTGTTGCATGTTCCCTATGCCTATGTTTTCAGATAGTGGTTGCTTGATTGATAAAACTCAGTAATATGTGCATTTATTTTGGACAAATTTATGGCTCCTTTCTCTTACAGGTTGGAATAAATCCAGGTTTGATAGCAGCTTACAAGGGACACCACTATGCAGAAGCAAATAATTAGTTCTGTAAGTAATTTATTTATTCGCTCATATTTGATGAACCCATCGCCAATAATTCATCACTAGTTCATTTAAATTAAAGAAAAAGTGACAATGAGGTTCAGTTCTTAGATTCCCAATAATATTTCATATTCCTAGGAGATTAACTTAGGGTTACTGTCAACAAAATCTGGTCAAAATTTTCAAAATGTCGTTTATTTGCTCTTGAATTAGAGAAATCATTAAGTTTAATTGGTGGAAGAAAAAATATGGAAGAGAATAGAATATAATGCGAGATTCGGCGAAAACTTTTTTTATAGGTAGCTAATACCAAAGAATGGAAGGTGTAATAAAGTTTCCAGCAGAGTGTTGACATTCCTGGCGGACCTACTGCGTTGCACAAAAGAAGTGAATCTGTCACATTCCCCAAAACATTGAGAAGTAAGAGCCTCCATGAAACGGTCATAAAGAGAGGTCACTTTGTGCCAAATCCAATAGAAAGCCTGGCCCAAAGAAATCAAAGACAGATGATTTTGATGAAGCAAAAATGTCTCACCTTTCTCTTTGCTTTTCTTAGAGGGTTTTTTTTTACTTCGTTTAACCCATTTAATTAACCCATTCGTTTTCGTCGCAAGATGACCTTTCCCTCGAATTTTCATGGACCTCTTTGCCACGAGTTTGGCCAAGGAGTTTAATATTGCCTCTCATTGGTTGGTGCCATTACCATCGACACGCTTAAATGAGGTGCGAAAACTGTGAGCTTTTTTGGAGGTTGAAAACTCTTGGTTTGTTTTTACGCAAGTATGTAGTTTTTTCGGATTTTGACGAAACTTGGCCAGAATATTCTTCAGATATTAATGCTCATAAGAGTGCGATGCTTTAATGAAATTCGAAATATTTTCCTGTGTGATTTCCCGAATTATGACAACAACTTAATTATTTTCTAGGGAGCTGAGGGAAAGCTTGGCGTCAAGATACCGTGAAGGATGACGGGAATAAGAAGAGAAAAAAGAAATCAAGAGTCACTTGGTAAAAATGGTGCACCTGGAATGATGGGAATAAAAAAAGATAAAGGCGATGAAGGGTCACGTGGCAGCAGTGAACCGCCAGGAATCAAGGGTGTGAAAGGAGAGCAGGGATCTAAAGGACAGAAAGGAGAAATCGTGAATAGTGCAGTGTCACAGACCAA